TTTTTAATGAGGGCTACAAAACAAGCCATGTGTGAATAAAACGAGTTCAGTGGCATTAAAGTGATGAATATTTAGAGCTAAAAGGCCTTTAGAGTCAGATGTTCATAACCACACTAGTTTAGCATAAATATTAAAAAATGGAATGAGAAAGTTTCACCTTCCTAACGCCAAGTGTTAGGAACTTTAAGATTCCTGACTGACCCAGTTTTTCTTCCAACTGGAGCTACTGTAACTCACAATTAGTGACACTTACCCAAGATCCCTTAATTAAGCCTCAAAGCAACCCATTATACAGATGGAGAAAGTGAGTCCCACAGGGGTGAAGTGACTGGCCTCAGGGCACAGACAGAGCCTGGAGCAAAACTAGTATTTGAAACTCCCAGGAGGGCCTGGTTCTCAGGCCAGCACTCAGCCCACACCCAACTTTCAGTCCCACATTCATCTCTGCTGGAACCCCCCTGAAGCAAGTGATGAATTTAGCACAGCAAATCCACCAGCTGGGCGCTGAGCTGCTAGAGGTTGGAGGGGTTCACTGTGATAGCCTCATTTCTAATATTTGTTGGATCGTGTGAGGAATAGTAGCCATACATATTTGTACTGCGGTAGAGCCCAAAGGCCCTAGTCAGGCCTGGGGGACGGTTGTGCTGGGCGCTGGACCCAGACACAGTAAGGAGACAGAGACAACCCCATGTGTACACTAACCCGAGAGATTTCAGTTCAGCTCCCTGAGGGAGACTGCCTCACAACACTACTGTGCATTTTGCCCTCCTGCTACACACACCGTCCCCAGCTGGAGAATGACAGACGCTAACCCCCAGGGCTGTCAAGCCAGCACCTGTCGTCCACACTCCATTCATGGCAGTATATTTAAGGCACACAGAGTCCATTAAAATCCAAGCAGTGGGGTTTGTCTGAATGGTGTTCATTCTCTGCCCACAAAATCCATTTTAGCCTATTAGCCATTCTGCTGCACAATCTCCTGCGACCTGCCTGAACCACCCCTCCGGGTCCCCACCACAAAATCCATCAGTCGTTCAAAGTTCTTTAGCTACTAAGTCTGATCAGTTCCAAGAGCGCCATCCATCAGCACAGACCTAAACAGTATGCTTCTAAGGTCAGCTCACTATAAAACTAGCAACAAAGCATGGTTGAAGGGGAAGGCGGAGGACTATCGCTTTTCTGATGGTAGTTTGAAGTAGGTGCTGTGTGGTTAAAATGTGCTTTGATTGAGTTAACTCCCCATTTTAAAAAATGGAGCTTAAAAAGAAGAAGGGATTTGTGCATGTAGCTAAAGTTGGAACACTTGAGTTTTGTAGCCTCTGGGTTTTCAAACACCCACCTCTTGAGCACTTCCTCGCTGGCACCACCCTCCCTTTGAACTTTGACAGTGGACTGAACATGTTTTTACAGACGTGTTTACCAGCTAAGAAATATAAAATGGGAACAAAGCCAAATTTGCTGGAGAAATGTCTTGGCTTAAGTTTTTAGACTAAAAAAGCAACAGCTCTAAAATAGCTCATGAGTGTCTGAAAGGCAGTGCAATTTACACTAGTGTCACCAAAATCCACGGGCCCCTCAAGCGCATTTTTAACACTTTTATAAAACAGAAGAGAGCACTGGTTTCCCTTGTGTTCATCCCTTCCCCTGTGGTTTGTTGACTATGCACAGAGTCCCATGGACTCAGCAGAAAGTTGTCAACCTACTGTTTAAAGCGCTGTTTACATGGTTCTTCTCTGAAGTTTGCTTGGCTAGAAGTTTTCCCCACAGTCCTTTAACTCCCCAAAGGGCAGCTTCAAAAGAAAAGCCCTGCCCCAGCCCGTGGTACTTTACAACATGCAAAGACTCTGCTACATACTGTTACAACTCCTCTAATTTGTGCCCTGACCATATCACAGGGAGTTGATGCACATCTCAGCTATCCCACAGAGCAAGGTTTTATACCCATTCAAAATAAATGCATGGCTTCCGAGCGTGCCTCAGGATCTACACACTAGGCAGCAATGTATAGAGCGGCTAAGCCAACTGTTATTTCAATGTTTACAGGAGCTTTGTTTTGGCTGGAATCGTGGAAGGCTGACCGGGCACACCTACAAAATGCTTGTCAAAGCTGTGCCAAGAGAACTTTTCCCCATCTCTTTAAACTACACCAAGAGTTCTCAAACTTCATTGCTCTGTGACCCCCTTCTGACAACAAAAATTACTACATGACCCCAGGAGGGGGGGACCAAAGCCTGAGCCCGCCCGAGCTCCACCACCCCAGGGTGGGGGGGGGGGGGGCAAAGCTGAAGCCCAAGGGCTTCATCCCCAGGCAGGGGGCCTGTAACCTGAGCCCTGCCACCCAGGGTGGAAGCCCTCAGACTTCGACCCCGGGCAGTGGGGCTTGGGCTTCAGCCCGGGTGGTGGCGCTCGGCTTCAGTCCCGGGCCCCAGCAAGTCTAACACCAGCCCCGGCGACCCCATTAAAACAGGGTCACAACCCAGTTTGAGAACCGCGGAACTACACGCTCTCAGGACCATCCTGCGCACTGAGCAATTCTGCTGAGAAAAGCAAGTCCCCGAACGAGTCAGCGTAAACGATAACGTACTCGCTAGCAGCATTTCAAGGGAAAAACGTTCTCAGCGAGAGCCGGTATGAATCAAATTCCCTTCGGTGGGAAAGGCGGGGGTGGGAGAGGGAACGGATAGCATTAAGCAGGGCTGGCTGGAAAACAGTAATTGTACTTCATGAAGAATTTCAAGGTTTAAAGTAGCTCCTTTGAATTTTTTAATGAAAAACCACCAGAGATCCAGACTAGCCAAGTGGTTAGGTCACTCACTGGGTATGTCAGAGAGACAGGTTCAAGTGTGGCTTTGCAGCAACGTCTTTCCATCACAGAGCTCTCTAAATCAGGCAGAGCAGGGACTTGAACCAGGGTCTCCTGCATCCAAGGCACATGCTCTAAGCATCTGGCTGTAGAATGAAAGATTGAGAATCAGACATGCGCGCTCTTGCTCATACATACACAGGCACGTATGTTTCAGCTTTGATGAACCAGCATATTCTGGAATTACATTTCATCAAACTGTTCCCATAGTTCCTATGTACTACAGCCCACACAAAGAACTAGGTTGCAAAGGCAAACATTCAAAAAATTAGGAAGTGCAGAATTAAAGATGCCTGTGCAACCTTCATTTGCCCCGATGGCATTTCCTAGCTCTGAGTGCTTAACTTTGCAATTTAATAAGGTTCTTTTAATAGAACATTGTGTGTCATTTTCCAACTTTTTAAAAAAGCAAACTGGAAAAAACCCAGAAATTCCTTGATGTGGCCTCCGAGTGATACCCACGTGGGTCATCAGCAGGGGTGGAAAGTTTAGCTCTACCACACACAGCTCTGTCACTGGAGCTACCAGAGTAACTGATAGCAGCAGAATGTTGTCATCCCCGCTGAGGGCCGGCACAAGAAGGGGATGGAGAACACACTTTGCTGCTGGGGTTCATGGAGACTTGCCAACAGCAGAGGAATGGTGAGACTCAGGAATCTTGGATTGCGCTCTGGGGTCTGGACGGGAGTGTGCTCCAGTGGGCACAGACTTTTTAACCCATTCCTTCCAAGTGTGACCCCTTCTACCCCATCCTCTCCAACCTATCTTGTCCCAGCTCCATACCCCTGGCTCCTCATCCCACTCCAATTCTCAAGTAGCTAATCCCAATCTCTACTCCTCAAGATTCTCATCCCAGTCCCCATCTCTTTACACAGCAAGGACTATTCTCACCCATCAGGACTCCCCATCCCAATTTCCCTATCATTCTCCCCGCAGCTCCTTGTTCCCAGTCTCCTTGCCCAGCCAGTTCCAGTCTCCCACACCCCAACTTCAGTTTCTCTCCCACCCACTCTGTCAGCCTCCAGTTTGTATCTCCTCCCACCAGACTCCTTGTCCCAATCTATTCTCCCTGCCCTTCCTGTCTCCCCATCCTCTCTCTGCATTCAAATCAGGCAGCGTCCTCCACCATGTGTTCATTTAGAACAGAGGTGACACAGGCTCCCTGCTCTCAGTTCTGATGCTTGGCCTTGCAGCAGCTCAGAGCTCCAACTACAGGGAAGTTCTGCTCAGCCCCGGGCTGGAACAGGCCCAGTATAGATGGAACCTTCCATGAATTTAGCTGCAAAGCTCTAGCAAGTCTCTACTGAGCATGTGCAAGCTGCAATTTTTCAAAAGCTTATAGCTTGGCCAAATGTGGGCAAATTTTCATGGGAAAGGCAAGAGGCACACCCCTGGCACAAAGGCTACCCCCTGCCAAATTTCAAGACCCTGCTCCAAAGGATGGGGCACTAGAGCCTCTCAAAGGAAATGTCGACAGAGGTGGTTTTAACATGGGCAAGACAATTAATTTTTCTTGGAAATATCAGAATCTTTTTGGCTGAAATTCCCTCTACCCCCTCCCCAAAACAACAAAACCCCCAGCCTAAGCCAGACACCTGGAATAGAAAAGCCGGTAGATCAAGGGAATTTGTTACCATATCAATGAAATAAAGTTTTTTAAATGACCAAAACCCACATTTCTTATAAAAACGTTCAAAACGTAAAACACTATACACAACCCTAGTATTTGGGACATCACCTGACTATGTGCTTCTAACCTGCCCTCAGGCCTCTGAACCACAACACGTAATTTTAGCCTCAAAGTGCAGCAAATTGCCCCAGGATCCCAATGCTGCAAATACTTAAGCATGGGGGGAAACTTTAGTCCACCAGGACTACTCATATGCATAAAGTTAAGCCCATGTTTAAGTGCTTGCAGGACTGGTGGGATCTAGCTATCATCTGCTTATCACAGGGATTCCTCAGCTGTAAACGGATACTGACCTCCACTGATGAGAAGTGTTCAATAACAGCGAGGTATTATTAGCGTTAATGCTACCAACTAAGTGATACTGGAGAACGGATACGCAATCATGGACAATTTCAAATCAGTTTTATTTTCTTAAATCAGTGTTATACAATTTAAAGCCAAAAAAAAAAGTCACACAAAACACAAATTAAAAAAAAAAGTTGACAATCGAGCATTACCTTATAAAGAATAACATCATACACTTTCTCACAAACCTGAAGATACGTGTTATTAGATTGAGGTTTCTTGAAATCTATTTAAGACGCTACGTACAAACGCTGCAACAAGTAACAAACCCATAACGATAGTGAATAGACTAGACTAGCAATTTCAAATTTTCTTTTTTGCATTCCTTATTGTCTACAAAGCAATAAATACTATTTTTACCAAAAAAAAAAAAAAAGTTGGATTCACGCTACATGCATTTAGATAACAAATAAAGTCACCAAAGTGATGGCAAAAGAAATCATCTGTCTTTTTTGTTTTGTCTTTTTCTCATTGTTTGTTTATTTTTTAAATCCGAGCACAGTGGTTAAGTTTCAAGTATTGAGAAAATATATGTAATATGTACACACACACACACATATATATTTATTTATATATTGGTTGAAGATCTGTAAACCACTTTTTTTTTTGAGCAATATATATTTATATACGTTGAATGTGGACAAATTTGATACATTCAAGTAATTAAGTACAGCTGGAAGGTTAGTGCTGAGCTTGTCATGTATACGGATCGGTACACCTGTGGCATAAACACGAATCCTGGGATGCAACTGACTAAAACTTGGCAATAAGCGATTAAGTTTGTGGGGTATCCATGGCATTCAGTGTGAAAAGCACACGTCTGCTGGGAAGTCTGTCCTGGCTTACTGTTTCCACACTGCATCCAGGTGAACGTACTGCACTCGTAGCATAGCCTATTGCAGGACTGGTGGCGATCCTTTCCGAAGTGGTCTGCTTCTTGTTTAACACCTCCAGCCACAGGTTTGTTTCTATTTTAGGAATAGGCACACATAGCCACCGCAGCAGCAGGCTGTGAATGAATGAAACAATGAAGGCCTGATACTGAAGTGACACATCATGTAATCCAACTCCCCTGGAAAGGGGCGGGGGTTTATTTACTTTTGTGTTCTGCCACGAGAAGCGTCCATCTTACCATAGACGAAGCTGGTTCACACGTCAGAGTTGTTCCTTGCATAATATTTTTTCCAAAGAGTGTCATACAAAAACGTGCAAAAAATTACAGTGGCAGAGAGAGAGAGAGAGAGAGGTAATGAATATTTAACCACTATGTGCAAAATGTTATTAAATCCCAAAAGCTAAGCCCAAAGTTCGCATTTCGTCCCCGGAGGTTACTTTTTCCACTCAGCGCTAACAAAATACTGCCATGACTCTGATAAATTAAAACACGCCCACGCGCCCACGCACACACACACACAGCCAGATTTCCCCTCACACACACACTCGCAGCATCCAAGCCTCAACAGGTCTTCAGCCGCCCACACCCACAGGCCTGGTTTGGCTACACAGTCTCTTAAAAAGAAATGCTGAAGGTAACTGAACACTAAAAGGGTTGGTTGGTTTTATAAAAATGAAGCAGCAAAACAATAAAAAAAAAATGCATTTTCGGTTGTAAATATTTAAGATCTCAATGTCTGTTCTTGAGCTCTTAAAAACCATGGAGCTTTGTACTGACGGTCCTTAAAAAGAACATTTAAATAAAAAAACCTCTTGGTACTGCAGGATTTCAAGTCAGCTTTGCCTGGCACGGAGGGGAACAGCACATGGACCGTGTGACTGCTGTTTGCTGCACATGCACAAGACACAGTACAGTTAAATACATACAGTGACACACACGCGATATATCGATACATATTCGCCTGAGGAATATGTATTCATATAGATACACACACACGTAGTGCAATAAAACAACGAGGAACAAAAGAACAGCATTCCCAGCAGTCGTGAAGTTCCGGGGTCACCGTGTGATGCAAAGTCAACTTGTTAAAGTTCCCATAGTGTGTAAAGTGCTTCTTTGATTCACAAAGTTAGTGTTTTGGGGGGGCAGTGGGGGAAAGGGTTATCTAACCAACAGTTGAAAGTAGGACAGCATGGGCGCCACCTCCTGTTGGATATGTACCGATGGGCCAAGCTGTGCAGTCAAGGGTCTAGGATACTGACCCCACAGGGGGAAAAACCATCAGGGTTTCTTGTAACGCTAGAGTTGTTTTTAAATATATATACACAACTTTCTTGTCCTTGGTTGCTCCCCGTCCAGGTAGGGATGTGACCCGCCTCCTCATGCTTGGTACAGGGGAGCCTCCTCGGTGGTGACGCGGTTCCAGCGTTGCTCGGGAAGTCTTTCGGAAGGTTGCAGCTGTCTTCAGCAACGCTCCAGGAAAAGAGATCCAGCTTCCCCACCTTACTCCTCTCCGCCACACAGGAAGTGCTCCGTGGCAGGACATATACAAGAAGGGCGAGTGTGGAGAAGGAGCAGCTGCAGGTCAACAGCAAGTTCCTGAGTGCTTGGCTATCAGTGGGGATGGGGAAAGTATGCAACTGGCCTTCTCAATTCACTGAACAGTCCACCTGAAACTTTCTGCTAACAGTTCAGCACATCCACTGCCAGCAATGGATGCGGCACTAAAATACTCCGGCTCGGAGCAGGAGGGCAAGGCAGCAGCCTTGTCCTTTGAAGTGGGAGGAAGGGAAATTCTATCCTTCGCCCCCTCCACCGAGAGGGAAAAACCCTGCATCTCTCCTCTGTCTTCCCCCAGTCTATATGGTGGGGAAGTGCTTGCGATCGCTGCTGTCATATGTCCCCCAAAAGAGAATCCAAATCCCTGCTGTGGAAAACCTTCCTGACGACTACAAATAAGATCAAGCAGTTTGTCTTCCAGGCTCCCCACAGCCAGGGTCGTACCTCCACCACTGCAGCAGGCGATCGGAAACTGAGCGTGATCTGCTGGCGAGAGGTTCGTGGCGAGCAGCACTTTTAAAATCACGCACAGATCCCCGATAACAGAGCCGACAGCCGGCGTTCAATACACATCTTACCTGTCCGAGAGAAAGGACACAGGAAATCAGTCTCTTGACCTCCAGCAATATTAAAGCTAACAAAATAAGGAGACATATACAGGATCAGATCCTCAGCCGATGTTAATGGGTGCAGCTCTGTTAAGTCAATGGAGTTAGACCCATTTACACCAGCTGAGTACCTGACTCAAAACGTCCTCATGCATAGAGGAGCATGAGAAGTGGGAATCATTAGAGACTCCAGAGAACAGTACTTTGGACACTGTCCCTCATAGGGATGTGGAGTTCTCAGAAAGAAAGGGCCCTAATTTGCCTCTAAAATCAGTGGGGTTGTAACTATTTAAATCAATGAAGTGGTTTACGCCAGTAGGGAAGATGGCGCAAGATCTCAACCATATTTGCCAAGGCCCAATCTGGGACACAAAGCAATCAGGGTCTGATCAGACCCTTATGGAGGCAGGAAGTTCAAAGTTAGGTGGGATTAATTCCTAAAGCTTCAGGCTCAAGATTCTGAATTCCTGATGTAAATAATTAATACTGGTAGGTGTGTGTAGCTGGGCTGTACATTTGGATCTAAAATACAGCCTGTCACACTCTAACAAGAGACGCAAGAGAGATTGTCTCATACAGGAAGCTGTGAAATAAATTGGGTTAAAGAACATATGTAGTGTTGTTGTAGCTGTGTTGGTCCCAGGCTATTAGAGAGACAAGGGGTGAGGTAATATCTTTTATTGGGCCAACTTCTGTTGGTGAGAGAGACCAGCTTTCTGGGACTATGTCTACATCACAAACTAATTCGGTATAACTTACGTTGCTCAGGGGTGCGAATAATCCACTCCCCTGAGCAACGCAAGTTATACCAGTGGTTTTCAAACTTTTTTTTCTGGCAAGTGCAGAGCCAGTGCTCAGGGGAGGGGCAGAGCATGGAGCCCTGTGGCCTCCCTGCCTAGGAGCCGGACCTGCTGCTGGGGTGCAGCGCGGTGTCAGAACAAGTAAGGACTAGCCTGCCTTAGCCGGGCAGCACCACCAACGGGACTTTTAATGGCCCGGTCGGCAGTGCTGACCTGGGTCGCAACCTGCGGTTTGAAAACCACTGAGTTATGCCATCCTAAGTGCCGGTGTAGACAGCGCTATGTCGGTGGGAGAGCTTCTCCCGCCAACAGCTTTAGCTACCGCCGCTCCTGTCGGCTTAGAGCGTCTTCATCAGAAGCGCTACAGTGGCGCAGCGGCATCGGTGCAGCTGTGCCGCTGTAACGGACGTAGTGTAGACATAGCCTCAGTTTTAAAAAAAGTTAGTGACTAGATCTCTGCTGGGGAGAGGCGTCTTTCAGGTGGATTAGCCAGCGAGCTACGTCTCTGAATAAGTGATACGCTTGAGACTTGATGAGAAGTGTCTGCAACGCCATAGCATTCCTTAATAATCCAGTCAGTGCCTACCATGCCCTGTTAAAGCAGAAGTCCCCCCCGCCTTTATTAACACTTCAGATCAGCCGTTAAAGTTAAATAATAACTGACTGATTGCTTGCGGGCTGGAATTCTCTTCTTCCATAAGGTATCTAGCGTCACTGAACACCTAGGTGCTGATTAGGACAATGGCACCGCCCCTGCTGAGGAACAGGTGCAATCTAACTGGCAATTTTTGTGCCTCCAGGGGAAGAGTGTAGTTGGTGGCTGTGCAATTCCCCAGCCGGGAAGCCAGCTATAATGGTTTTGCCATTGCAGTTAAGTTGCCAGATTTAGCTCTGGTGAAAGCACAGGCAGAGTTGAATTTAACCCACTCTCTTGCTTTTTGACATGGTACTAATTAGACTTTCCCCGCTGCCCTGGTGTGCCGAGGCAGGTTCTGTAACTGAGCCATACTGACCAAGGGCAGAGAGAACGGGCTCTTTGTCCACGCTAGCTCAGTGCTCTCAGAATGACACCCAACCCTCCGGCCAGCGGGACGGACAGAGGGTCCCTCACAAGGACAGAGGAAGGGTGCTAACTGGGAGGGGTCTGTTTGTCCTGCGGTGGGAAAACTAAGAGGGCCGGTTTGTTCTCTGAAGGCTACAAAGAGACGGGGGGTTGGGGAGGGCAAAGAGACTGGGGGGAAGGGGCCGCAAGGAGGTCAGAGTTCAGATTTCAGCATCGACTGCTGATGAACAAAACCTGCCTGCCACAGTCTCAGCCATTTCGGGCTCCGTGGTTAATGGAGGGGAGGGAGGATTTGGCAAAGGGTTCGCAAGCTGACACGGGGTGTGTCTGCACTGCAGTCGGAGGTCTGATCGCAGCATGGCTGCTGCATCATTACTGCTGCTTTTAGCGGCACTAGCGTGATCAAAGCTAGCTTGGGTGTAACCGACACGAGCTGCAATCACACCTCTGCCTGCGGGGGACGTACCCTTAGATGTTCATTCGGAAGAGCTGCCGCAGCCCTGATTGTGTCAGGCAGCGACCTTCACGCAACAGCTACTGCCGGTTTGCTGTCCCGAGTGACCAGACTAACAGTCCCAGCTGGGGACCAAACCCACACCTTCGCTTCTGCCAGACCCATGCCCTGAGCCAGCTCCTTCACACAGCATTACAGCCCTAGCAATCTCTCTGCCGGGGCGGCAGGTCCTTACGGCAGTGTCCTGCCGCTCTGTAAGCGGGAGGCAGGTGGCTGAGCAATGAAGGAGTTATTCCAAACAAAAGACATTTTTGGTGCGTCCACAAGAACTTAGTCCCGGTGGAAGGAACCCTGGAGACTGAGACTCTGGATCCACCAATGGAAAAATACACAGGGCTCTAGTAAGAAACTGAGCGCCCAGCTGCTCACATTTATTGATGTTCTCGATGTCCCCCTGCTCCGTTATGATGTTCAAGAGCCCCTCCATCAGCAGCAGAGCCTTCTGGTACCTCTGTGCGCAGTCCTCCCTGTGATGGAACATCTCGTCCAGGGCTGCAGACTGCACCTGTGTGCAGAAGCCCCCCCCCCCCCCCCAGTTATTCTGTGCAGCATGAGGGTAGCATTGAGGGCAGCATTGAGAGCAGGGGCAGTATTGAGGCTGCACCATCACGCCAAGCTCAGCAGCACGCGCACCGAGAGCTGGGCACCATTTCATAATCGTTTATTCACCCCAAAACGCCGTTTCGGTCAATCCAAACCCATCCACGAATTTGTGCTGAGTTTGCCGAATAGTTTCGAGGGGATCGAAACATCGAAATGGCTCGATGGCGTTGAAAAGAAATGTTTTGTTTCAACGTCACCAACGCATTTCGGGCCGGAGCTACAAAACGGCCGGAGGAGGACGACAGCACAGTGGCAATTCAGAGCCACAACGAACAGCCACGGGGCCAGCAAAAGAGAGTCAGACTGACTCTAGAGCCCCGTGGTTACAGCACCCACCTAGGATGTGGGAGACCCACATTCAAGTTCCTGCTGCCATAACTATTTCATGTTTTTTTTAATAAAAAGTGGAACAGCTTCACCGAGACAGAGAGATGCCTGCCTCAGAATGCCCCATAGCTCAGGGCTTGGGTACTCCTCCTGGAACAGGGGAGATGCAAGTTCAGATCCCTTCTCCACATCAGGCAGAGAGGGGAATTGATCCTAGGTCTTCCCACATCCCAGGTGAGTGCCCTAACCACTGGGCTAAAAGCAGGGCACCATCGCCACTCCATGCTTAGTCCTCTTTTGCTTTTGTTAAAACGTCCCAGATCAAAATGAAGAATTTCGAGTCGTGGTCAAACAAAATGTTTCATTCAACTCAACTCTAAATGTTTTCTGACTTTTCCATTCCCTAAACATTTCTTTTTGGTTTACCCCGAAAATGAAACATTTGTCTGATTTTTCTGAATTGCCAGCAACTGAAAAATCCATTATTCACTCAGCGCTACGTATGTCCCCTCCCGGCCCTCCAACGCGCAACGAGCCAGGCGTGAAAACAACCTGCCAGCACCCTGTATGTGAGCTGTGACCAATCATGCTGAGCCATGATGCATGCTGGACATTGCTCCTACAGGGCTGCGAGATCTTTACCATCTGCACGGCGTAGCTGAAAATGAGCTTCTCTGCTGTGATGCTGTTGATCCGATCCATGAGCTTCTGTTTATCCAAGAAGAATCTCTGGAGTCTCATGTTCAGAGAATGGCAGGCCGACACGCTGGATTTATAAAGTTCGTTCAGCTTCTTCACAACTAGGGCAAAAGAAACAAAATGTTCCTCTCCACTTCCTGCTTTGCCTCTTTCACCTACTCCCCACGCTCCTTGGAGGAGTGTCTCAAAGGTGCTTTGTTTAAAGCAAAGCTTCAGCCATTCAGCAGCATACAGACTGGGAAATACCCGTCACTATCATGGGCTTTGACTTAGCCTCGTGCAGTAGCTTCAAGGCTCTTATATGGAGATACCCACACATGCTTCTAGTTTCCCTGCCACCAGCTCTAGTTTCGTTTCTTTTAGCTGAAACAAGGTTTAGGCCAGGGGTTCTCAAACTGGGGGTCGGGACCCCTCAGGAGGGTCACGAGGTTATTACAGGGGGGGTTGCAAGCTGTCAGCCTCCACCCTAAACCCCGCTTTGCCTCCAGCATTTATAATGGTGTTAAATATATTAAAAAGTGTTCTTAATTTATATGGGGGAGGGGGGTCACACTCAGAGGCTTGCTATGTGAAAGGGGTCACCAGTACAAAAGTTTGAGAACCACTGGTTTAGGCAATTCAATGTGTGCACTTTGCCTCACACGCCACTGGGAACAGCAAACACTCCAGAAACGGAGCCTCTCTGATCCGATGGCTGGTGGCGTGATGCAAACTTGCCTCACCTATGGTAGCTGATGGAGCCTACAATGCCAAGAGTGGGTGAAGCAATGGAGTGGAGCAGGGATATATCAATGATTTGCTGAGCAGCACTTTGCTCCCTGCCAGGTGAACCTGACCTCCCTTCCGGCAGGGCAGCTAGGATTTTAAGGCTCCAGGACTGCGTGATGGAGAAGAGCAAGAAGAATTTATGTAAACGTTACTGTACGTGGCCAGCAAGAACAATCCAAAAGGGTGTTCTAAAAGCGGCTCAGTCTCTCGCTTTGTTGAAGCTCGGATACACGTCCTAGACTAACCAGGAGATTTTTCGAAGGCACACAGGTCAGCCTGCAGAGCTAATGGGACTTGGTGCCTTTGAAGGTCTCCCCCTAATGCCTACATTCAACTTTACATGTTAAAAAGGGACTGTTCATCACAAGTAGTGTGTCTTTCAAACTGCTCTCACTTCCTCATTTACTTTGAGACCCTGAATTCTAAGCAGTGCTTCGTAGGGAGAGAAGGAAGAATGGAATAGCTTGCCTAATTCCCAATGCATTTTGGTGAAAGCGCAGTTATACATCTAGAGGCTACAATCTGCAAGGTACCTAACGAGCATCTGGGAAAAGAGAGGTTACGACTTCTCTATAAATGCTCAGAACAATTTGTTATTCAGGCTACAAGGACAGCCGTAGCCTTGGCTGGCCACAGCTTCTGCAAACTCATTCCAATTCTCCCTGAATATGTTCTACTTCAGAGTTCGGAGACTAGTCTCAGAAGCTCATCCTCGGTTCTTAGAGAGCCCGGTGGATGACCTGCGTGGCACCAGGCAGTGTATGATGTACAGTAACGTACAGCGGATTTGGCACTCGGAAAGCTTCAGCCTCTGCCATCTTCTCTTTCAAGGGGGAAGTTAGAGTCAGTTACAGAAAATCCACGGAGTGGAGTAAAATTCCAGCCACCGGGATTTACTGATGCAGTATTTCCTTTGGCCACTGCCCTATACCTGAACAAAACCCAGTGCAGCTAGAGTCACTGAGCAGGGAGAGCTGAGTGCTACGGCCTCTGCGGGGAAACTGCTCTGCAAAGGCTAATTTGCACCCAGGGGCTTTCTGAACCTTTCAGCCACTGAACAGGAGAAGGTTTTCTAAGTGGCAAGGAGGAGACGTAGCGGCGTGACTTTCCATTTACATGAGTGGAAACTGTGTAGCTAAGTCCCTGCATTGGCCACTGCAGAAAGAGAGGGTACGCAGTTACTGACAACACCCCCCCTAATGCAGAGAGGTGATTTTCAAAGGCACAAAGCACATTTAGATGGCAGCCAATGGGAGACGGGAGTTTAATTGCCCTTGGTGCCTTTGAAAGACTCCCCCAATAGCGTCCCAATGCTAAGACAAAAACCCAGCCACTAGCTTTGTACTGACTAGTGCCGCCTTGTGCGATGGCCAGAGACGCGTAACACGTCAGAACGAATGGAAGGCCATAACAGGCTGATAAACGGCTTCCTATGTTGCCATTGGGTATTGTTACTTCCTGTTTTTTTGTTTCTTTCACTTGAAAGTCACGATTGCCAAGAAATGACTCAACTTGCCAAGTAAGCACGCATTACGAATACACACAGCATGTAATTAAGTTGCACCCCCATCCCGTATAATTAAGCACCTGTGTATAGACGTGCCGAGATATTCAGATCAGATGCCTTCTTTCTAACTGCAGTGAGGATTCATACAGCGGCACAAGCGAGAACCTGGGTTCTTGCATAAACTGAATGTCACGGGAGGAACAGGTTCTTTGAGGTGTATGAAAAGCATCCCTGAGGATGCCAGCAATGCCAGGAGGCTCATGTGCGGATAACTTTGCAAACAGAACATAATACTTGGGAGAAGGTGGGGGAAGAGAGGAGGCAGGCTGCTGGTACAGAGTGGGGGTATGTGTGCGCACTGGCAGAGGGTGGCAGCGTGTAAGGAAACTGCCAGCACAGGTGGGTGGAGCGGGGCAGAGGAGTGCGAGGAAGGCTGACTACATGCATCAGTGGCACTCACTATTGAGTGTGAGGCCACTAGCCGAGTTCAGTGGCGATGGCTCATATATGTGGATGGAGGAAAGGGGCAGGCGTGTGCACGCATGTGTAAAAGCTGCTCCTCTGGGAGCTCCAAAGAGGAGGCAGCTGGTTTTCCACGCAAGTGATCCCAGACAGCCTGCACTGTTCACCTGGGGCACTCAGTATATAATAGAGAGGGTCGGAACTAGCTAGCAGGATGAACTCAGCACTCTGCTCTTACTGCTGAAGTCTCAAGGCAATGCAGCGGGGGGGGGGGGGGGGGGCTTGTGGGGAGGGGACAACATCCTCATTCCAAGCTCCTTTCCACAGCTCCGGCATTCCAGACGGGTCACTTGTACTTGTGCTCAGGGGCCCTTACCTTGTTTGACAGTGGAGGAGAGGCACAGCTTGCCTGCCTTGATCTGTTCTATGGCTGTCTGCAGGCCCGAGGACAGCAGCTCTGCTACTTTCAGGTACAGTACCAGCTGCTCTGCATAGCTGCAAAGGAAGCACATTTCAGTGCAAGCAGATCAATGGGCTGGTCGGTGTATTTATAGCACGACCTCTACAATAAGTGTCCCAGAGTGCTTTCCAAATGCACACACCAGGCACGTGGCAGAGAGAAGCAACGCACAGCAGCTAGGGTGGTTTTGGGAAAAGGTCAAGGAATCCTGGCTTCTCCCCAGGCCTTACCTCCATTCCCTGCTGAGAAGGCTGATCTGGTCAGCCACCACGCTCTCCTGAAGCTGGTACTCAGAGGCCACCGAGCTGCTCATCTCGCTGGTGCTCCCTTTGATGGTGGCAATTTCCATCACATAGTGGACGAAGGCAAGCATGAAGCGCAGGCTGCGCAGGATGTCCGTGTGCTCTTGCTGGAGAAGGAAACACCAACACAGAGGTTACGTGTAGGATGCAGCGTGTGAGGGAGGCTGGACACATTGGCAACAGTGCCAGCACACGGAGGACTCATCACTGGATTATGAAAGCAGAAGCTGAGGATGTAATTCTTCCAAGGAGCTGTTGTTGTGTCTGGGCATGAAATCCCTGCACTCGGACCCAAGCCCAGACACCAATCCTCCTCCTTCACAGATTAACGGAGCACAGCTTCAGGCCACCAGTTTACAAGCAGTTCCCCAGAGAAGCTGGTGAGCCAGGCTCCCAGTAACAGGCTAATCTGTTTTCCTCTCTGTGAGACTGCTTAGGAATCTATCAAAGCCGAGGGGAGTTTCTGTGAACCGCGGGCCTAATGCGTCTCGCTGTCACTGGGGCAAGCAATGGAGTGATTGAGAGCAGAGCTGGGCACATCCGGAAGTAACTGGCTTGAATGCCTATGTATGTAAACCCCACAAATACTAGCCTCACACCAGGCTGTCAATACAACACAACACCCCACTCCTTAGAGTCTTCAGTCTGAGTCGACACCGTCACAGAACCAACGTCTCCAGAGTTGCTTCCTATTTCAGGTCAGGAGTGAGGCCTGCTGACAGGGCAAACTTGTCCTGCTGCTGCCTGAGTGCCTGTTCGGTGGGTGAACCGTGGCCTTTGGCCTCCTGGCTCTCAATCCAGCACCTGGAGCTACAAGGCACCTTAATTTAATATGGGGAAGAAACCGCACAGCAATGGGCTCAGCCCAGAGGGGCACTTCCCCATTTCTTGGGGAGTTTTACTGAATAAACCCTGCCCAGTATAGCCTGAAGGCTAACTACTCATAGGACCTGCAGTAACTATTGGCTCTTTGAGGTGACTATAAAACCTGTTAGAACTTCTCGCTGGAACTTCTCGTGGAACTCCCTTTGTGGTATTTTCTATCAAAATGATCGGAAGAGCTAGCAGGTCTGTCATGCATTCAATGGATGCATGCAGTGTCCTAGTCATGTGGGTCCCAGGATATTAGAGAGACAAGGTGGGGGAGGGGCCTATAAAAAGACATCACCTCACCCACCTTGTCTCTCTGTTCATACAATGGGTCAGTCCTTCTCTCAAAGCGGCAGGTTAATGCCCTTTAGTCTATGAGTTATGGGCAGCCATCAAAGGGAGAAATACATCCTTCATATTGAGCAACCAATTCTATAGCTTTCTTTATCCACTCATCAGTTCAGCTTCTTGGTTCAGGGGTTTCATATGTACATGGCCTCCACAGCACCTCAAAATCTCCAGTGTCTTTACCCTCACAATACCCCTGTGAAGTAGGGAAGTGCTATTATCTCAGTTTTACAGATGGGGAACTGTGGCACAGAGAGATTAAGTGACTTGCCCAAGGTCACATATGAAGGAACAGGAATTGAAACCGAGTCTCCCAACCGCCAGGTTATCACCCTACTCAGTGGACCTTCCTTTCTCTCTACCCATAAAGAGCCTATGGTACTTTCCAGCCCTGCCATCAGTAATCATTCAGAACCTCTCCTGCCCCAGTCCCCAATATGAACTTTGTTTTAGCACTGCACATCAAACTTTTAAATACAGTCCTGAATTTGTCTCATTTTCCCCTAAAGGAACTTTTTCAAAGAAAAAACATCCACTTACTTTTTACAACAAAACCTGAGATAAATAATAGGTTTCAAAATGCCAACATTTCAGTGTGCTGTAAAAACGTCAGCAGAAAGCATCTGTGTGGAAAATTTGTCAGGTTGGCATTCCGGACAGATCCACAGGGCACAAAAGGGGTTACAAATAAGCCAAAAAAGCTGGGTGCCAGGGAGGTTTTGCAACATGCGAATGGATTATTAAAGCCTGCATTCAGCAGAAATGAGGACCAAACCAAAATGACTCACTGCAGACATTTGAAGCAGAACTGCACAGCATTAACAAGATCAAGCTGACATTTCCTTGGGAAGATTCTGTTCAGGCCTACAGAGGAGTGGCTGCCACATTCCCATGCTTCTGGGGCTCTTAAGGTGGCAGGAAGTTCAGTTAACTCCCACACAACATGGATCACATCCATGTTAAAATCTCAGCCCCATGGCTCTGCAGAAAACTTAGCAGATGAAACCAACTCAGTGCACACCTGACAGCTCAAGTCTCATTTTTCTAACTTGATTTTTTAAATATTTTTTTTAAAAATGGAACCATCAAACCTTAATTCTTAAACCAATGGGCACAGGTCTCCGCACGTATCTAGAGGACGATTTTTTGATATTGGAGTCAAGGCTTAGTTGTAAAAAACCCTCCATAGTCGTAGATGAGCTTCCGTAAGATTATGAATAAAGATGAAACCAGGCCTTAGTTTTTCCCCTCACTCCCCAGCTCCACTGCAAATGGATAACCTGACTTACATATCAAATGCACTTGGGCGGTGGGAGCATTTGCTATGCTTCCAGCTCCATTCACTGTGGGAAAAAGGGGGTGTCTGGCTGCCTTTCAACTTGACAAAGATGATTCAACAGCCTATTTTGTTGGTTCAGAGTCTCTCTCTCCTGCTATCAACACAAGCATCCAGTTTTTCTTCTTTTAGGTGCTTTCATCGGAGATTGTATCGCTAACGGAATCCACAGTGCATGCAGAAGATAGTAATGGGATACATTCAATACCTTGCTGGCTGGATTCTGGCTAGACATCAGTAACACTTTATTTTTTTTCTTTTAAAAAGAAAAAAACCCCAGACTTTCTTCACAACCAGCTGATTTTCAGTCAAAGAAGAACGTGAAATATTGAATGCGGTTTCCAACCTTCAATTTCAGCTTTAGAAAAGGCAAAATTATACCCTCCGTCACTCCAGTAACCAGCTACAAGGACTAAAAAGTTCAGTAACTTTGTTCCCTCCCAGACAAAGAGGACCAATATGCTGAAAGCATTTTTGACTTATTGAACTTTATGGGCCAGATCTGGTGTAAACTGGCCTTGCTCCCTTGCTGAGGGTCTGACCCCATCTGCTGCAAATATCCAATATTTTGGATTTGCTTTTGGTGATTCGCCCCCCCCCCCCTTTCTGTTTTAAGTCCACAGGCTGTACCCACCTCCATGAGCGTCTCCTCAGGCAGTTCTGGTGCCTCAAATGTAACTGTCCCTTCCAGATTAGCTGCATTAGGATCCACAAGAGTGTACCGGAGACTAGATGGAGCTTCCATGGCATCCCCACCAGCTCCCACCAGCAAGTGTCTGCCGCTGAATGAGCCTCCTGAACTCAGAGAGCTTGAAGAACCCACTGAGAAGAAAAGTACACATGGCAACGACTTAGACATTACTACCAGGCAGAACTGCAGCACAGCCATTGCTTAGATGATGTACAATCCCCTCCACCACATAGACACCCTGCTAGGAAGTGGAGTGTTGGGTTTCTTGATTAAATGCCTAACAAAGAAAGCTGTAGATCCCATGCAACGTAACGGTGTATGCTTGGAGCTCGTTTTTTGCCATCTCTAGTAGTTCTGACCCTATGGACAACAGCATGTCACTTCCAGGGCTCCTGGTTCATTTGTGTGGAACTGTTCTCCTCCCCCATTTTACAGATGGGGAAGTGAGGTACGGAACAGATTAAACTGTCCAGGGTTCCACACTGTGGCTGGGCCAGAAACTGAACCCAGATCTCCTGAGTCCTAGTCCAGTGCCCCATCCACTAGATCACCACCAACCATGTCCCTTTGGGCCAATCATACTCAAGCCCAGAGAGCACCACAGATACATTGTTTACTACAAGATTTATCAATAGCAAAAGGACCCTTCAAAGTCATGCAGTCATAATAAGAGAATTAAATATATTCACTATAACCCGCATTGCAGCACATGTTGTCGATGGGGAATGTTCTCTTTGAGACACAGAGGATTCTAATCCTGGCTGTAATGAGTATCTATCCAGCTATGCAAATTCAGCCAAGATGGGATTCCCTACGGTCACTGAACATCGCGGTTGGAAAAGACACAGCCTTTCCCCTCTGGATTCCATCTGCTGCTCTACAGAGTCTTCAAAGGGTTCAGCCACATAATTTGCTGCTGAGTTACTCATGTACAGAGTTGTATGCAGCTTTCTTTCCCTTACCACCCTGCTTGAGAACTACACCTCAAAGCTTTCAGGGACCCGCAAAGAAGATCTGAGTATTTCCAGCTCTTTGAGGGGAGACAAATGGAACAGGCAAACGAAAGGAATCTCAAACTTAGGGTATCCCCGAATTTGCAGGCCACTGTTTTCAGCAGCTTTAATCTGGCCTATACAACTGCTCTGTTGTTATACTTGTCTAATGACTCTATTTGTGGTCACTCCAAACTTGTCAAGCATTGAGGCTGTGTAAGGCTTCAGCTTGCGTCACACAGCCTCCGAGCCCCCTCCCTCCCAATAATGACAGCCTGCTCTCCCATTTCTGTACATGAGCTAGAACACCTGAAGTAGTTAATAGACTAGGGGCAATAAAGATCAGTCACAGCTCTTCAAGCTCAGCTCTTATCCAGTTGCAACACTTAGCGAATTTGTCATAATATACCCTGCACGGCTTGCACTGGAAACGCTCAGGGGTGGCTCGGCATCTTTTCCAGAGGACTCTGAAGAGAATGGGGAATGGAGCCTATGTGTGATGTACAGGAGGCTGTCAGCAGGTTAGGGAATGATTCATCTTCATACCCTCTGGTCTCTATAATCAATTTTCATGCTATCCTGGGGTTTTCTGCTCAATGCCAAAAAGCCCACATTTAGGACAGGGACTGAGGGAGAAAGAAAGACGGCTCACAGGGTGGTCTCCTTAATCAGGGATTAAAGCCAGTCCTTTAATTAAACTCTACAGTCGATGGAGCAATGCAGACTCATAATGATGAGCATAGCAGTTCCCCAAGTTAACTATTAAGCACACAGTCATTTCCTATTGAACAGCATTATTTAGAGGGGATGAACTGACTCAAATGGACACTTGTTCTGATAGGAAAGTACTAAAAAGGGCTATTCCTGAAGCAGAGAGAGAAATAAAGTAACAAATATTTGCATCTCTCTTGATCATCCACATTCGTCCTCGAAGCAACAGAAAGAGCTTTCAGTAATAACTTGTGTCAGTACTTGCCAGGGTTATCATCTCAATGGCGTTCAGGCCAGGAACAAATGCATTCTGCTAAACCTTTCTGTGCTGCCAGTGCTCCAACAACAGAAAGCAAAGTGTGTGGCATGAAGGCCTGCCATCACCCTCTTCCAGACAGACCCACCAGAGCAGAAGGGCAGGGCCATTACCTGAAAACATCCTGGTCCTAGTGGTTTGTGGTGGTGTTGTCCCACTGGGAGGGGATCCAACCGTGAAGATCACTGGGGAAGGGCTCACAGAGCCCCCAGCTCTAGCCCCACAGTATAGGTTTCCTCCATAAGCAGCAGAGGGAGCTACAGAGGAAGAGTGAAAAGGAGCAGCTTTTACTAAGATTATTACTCAGAGGGCAGGATTCCTCTCCCCACAACCTCAAGCTGTTCCCACCACTGCTCCCTTTCCAAACATCCCGCTGACAAAGGAAATGACACAGGCTTGTATACAAACAGGGCACAACCAAAGAGCACCGGCGGCGTTACGTGGCCTCACTGCCCACTAGCTTGCCGACTCCTGCAGCTCTCAGAGGAGGGCCCCCTCCTACGCAGTGCCCCAGTTGGCAAATGGAGATCATATGTCCCCCTACCTCACAGGAACACCGCGAGGGTGAAGGCATATTTCAGCTGCACTTTGAAAAGCATCCGATGCTTATTCAATTGTTCCCATTAAAATATTCGTCATAAAAAAGACCTCTGAGATAATAAGTAATAATGATACCCAGCTCTTCCACAGCGCTTTTCATCCCTAGGTCTCCAAGTGCTTTACACAGGAAGAGGCATTGTTATCCCCATATCAGATACTGCTAGCAGTCAGTTCCTGCTCCCAGGCAAGGAGACCAGAGACCTCCCATTCACACAAAGCCCTGGAAAGCAAGAACCGGGCAAACTTGGGACACGCGACCAAGGCCTCCCCTCATACCTGTGATCTCCATTGGCTTCTCATTGTTCAGGCTGTCGTTGCTGCCAGCTTCTGAGATCTGAGCCCCAAAGGCAGCCTTGAGAAGCAGGTCAGTGAGGCGGCCGGTGCTCAGAGATCTAGAGAGAAAATCAAAGGTGATGTAGGAAGACAAAGATGGTTTCAGAAAGGCCCGAGGTTTCAGTGAACTTCCACTCCCTGATCTGTGCCATTCCGCCTCCCCACCCGTTCTGCACGTTGCACGGCAAACGGCTCAACGCTGAAGCAGCTGTTGGCCTGTGATGCTCTTTACGCTGCTATATCAGAGCCGTAGGGGCATCTCTGGCTGGGACAGGGAATGGCTAGCAGCCCAGGTACCTGCATCACCACCTTCCTTTCGCTGATCTCCCCTTCCTGTCAGCATTCACCGATGGAGCTCTGCCACAGAAATGGTTTCCTTCAGGCCTCACTCCTTCCTCTGCAGCAAACCCACCCCCTCCCCCGACGGACAGAACTGCAACACTCCATATGGGGCTATTCAGGATGAACTCAGGAGAGAGCTGAACTCGCCCCATGAACGCCACGCTTCAGGAGGACAATTAGAGAAGCCTAATGACAGCACAGCAGCGTTAAGGCCCTGAAATGGCCTCAGTGGTAGGATGGCTGGTTTTTAAAGGGATCTCCGTTCAGGACGCTGGGTATTTTGTTACAAGGGGCGGCGCCCTCCTCACTGCAGGAACCATTTCCAAATGGAGCAATCAGCGTGTTCGTGCAACTGGTGGTAGCCTAGTGTAATTGACTGAGCCCGGATCCCAGCTGGGTGAAGCCTGGGGTCCTCATCCCAGCCCTGACACCAATTTGCTGGGTGGCCTTGGGCCATTTGCAGCTCTCCCTGGTCTACATTTTCAGGAGTGCCTGGTGATTGTGGTTGCTCCAGTTTCGGGGCGCCCAGCCTGAAACACCTTAAAGGAGCCCGATTTGCAGGGAGTGGGTCTTCATTGATTGAAAATCAGGCCCCTTTATACAGCCAAAAATTAGGACACCCAAAATCACTAATTTAGGTCCTGGCCTGCCTCTGCCTAGGAAACCTATAAAAGTCAGGGTAGTATGTGCCTGCAACACAGGTGAATTGTGAATATTAGCGGATGACTGTAAAATGCAGTGTAGGTGCGAGGGCTTGGTCAAAGGGCAGGGGATTGCTTTTCCCCCACGTCTATCAACCAAGCGTCATAATACGACATACTTTATGACAGAACACACCGATATCTCACCTGCCCTTAATCTCTTCCACAGGCCTCAAGCCCAGGCCGGCCTGGTGGCAATGGAAGTGCCCCATCTCCTTCAGGTCTGGCAGAGTCTTGTTCCGCGTCGGGGCCAGCATGACTCCCTGCTGGGCCAAGAGCGTGAGCAGGTTCTGGGAGCTGGGAGTTTTGGGGAACTCAAAAGGGGACATAGCCTAGAAAGGAGAGAGTTGGGTTATTTGTAAATAGTCTCATGAAGCCGGTTTTGGTTTTTGTAAATGAAGCTGTATACACGAAACCGTGGCTGAAAACATCTCGGCCCTCCCCCTGCCCCAGAGGAACGGCAGCTGCCTCACACATTTTTGAATGTTAAGTGCCACTTCAGAGCTGTGCCTGACTGACTCTGTTCCCACCACTGCAGGGGCCTTGGACATTGGGGACACCTCGATCGCGCGTTCTCTGCCTTTGGCTCATGACCAGCTTAGTCTCTTGAGAACTGAAATGCTCTAGTTTAATCCAACTTCCTGCGCTGAGCACGTTGGTGACGTTTAATGGCCTGCGATACACAGGAGGGCAGCCTGGAGGATCTGGTGGTCCCTTCTGGCCTTAAACTCTGTGAACTCTCTGATACAAGTGGAGACCAAAGTGGATCCAGAGCGTCCGCTTCACAGGCGGACATCAGGGCTCCCATCTCTACGGCTACCACCCTCAGGATGCTTGCAGGGCAAAGCCTTGCGTTACAAGCCCAGACGCACTGTGGAACTCAGCCCCACTCAGAAGCCCACTGCTATGCCTCAGTCCTAATCTGTAGGGATAGGGCAGCTCATTGCCAGGGCCCTCTCAGATCCTTGGACTCACTGCTCAGACACTGATGCCAAGCGAGATCTGTTCACTAGGAACAGGAGCATTGACTCATTGGACACAGATCACTAAACAGCCCTTGAGGAACAACTAACCAGCCGTGGCAAATCCGAACCAGTTTTATCTAAACACAGTTAGTTACTCCAGAATAACCCACCAGACTGAGCTGCAAGGCAGAATCCACAGAATACCTTTGTAGGGGAGCCCAAGATAGTTGGCAAGGGACTTCTCTGCATGAATTCAGACAGCTTTGGTGAGGACCTCAGCTGTCGGCAGGGCTGCAAGCCATGAACCTGCAGGGGCTGGCTGACGGGAGCGTGTCCAAAGTGAGGAACTAGAGGGTCAGAATGCTGCTTGGTAATCTTCTGCCTGCAGGAATGCAAGTCTGACAGGTTGGGAGCGCTGTGAAGCCGGCAGCCCATCCCTCGGGAAGAGTGCTCAGGCACTGAGGCACCTAGAGAATCCGAACACCCCCCACCCCACACACACACACAGTCATTCTCTGGCCAATTCTGCGAGCTGGTTTGATCTCAGGACCTACAGGGAAGCCTTAAGAAAGCAGAGGAGGCAAGTTTGTCCTTGGCACCTGCAGATCAAATCCTTCAATACATGGTCAAGTCCAGACTCTGTTCTCAGCAACGTGCCACCAAACTTTCAGACCTGATTTAGGCTTTGACCTGTGGATGCCTAAACTCCAGGGGCTCATGAAATGAGGGGGCAGAGCTCATTGCTCGAGTTCACCTGCTGGGACACTGCACATTGTCAGAGCTGTCTGGCCCAGCAATTCGCGAGGCGGATTTAGGAGAACGCGGGGGTAGGGAGGAGGAGGATTCAGGACTTCCACTGGGATTCCATGCCGCACAAACCAGTGACTTCCACAACACAAGCCAGAGTTTGTGTCATGTGCCACCCGCGAGCACCATTTAAACATGTTAATTTCATGCCATCGTGGTATAAGGACAGCAACAGCTGGGGAGTGGCGGGGGAGGAGCCAATGGGTAAGGATTCTCTTCTCATCACATTTCCTGTCTGAGCCAAGCATCAGAGAAGGACAATATGGTACCCAAAGCCCTTTAGAGAGCACATTTCTGATGTGTCCGGCCCCTTATTCTTGTGAGGGAGGCAGAAAGAGAAGAGGAAGATAAACACAATATGGACATACCAGGCATGGGGATCCTGCTTCTCGTTTCTGCTCCAGGTGGGGAGAAGAAAACAGTCTGACCGGGCTGCTCTGGAATCGTTCCAACTTTAAGGGGAACACAATCAAAAGGTTTACTCAGTATTAGGTTTTCCCAGATGATGCCGCAAGCACATTAGATATGTAAGTTTCACCGCAGACCCATCTGAGAGCAAGAAGCACTTAGACAGCTCCCTCTTTCCTTCTCCTCCCTCGGTGTAGGATAAAAGGACTGAAAAGCTCCAGGGAAAGTGTGAGAAAGGAGTCTGAGAGTTTTAGGAAGCGTGATCAGAAGCTCATCCTAACAGACTGGGGTCTAATTAGAGAAATCAAACAGGCAAACATTGGCTCCACACCTATATGAGTCCTGTAAACATGGGATCGGAGACTTCAGAGGATCTAGTAAAATCCAAGTCCGCCCCTTTACCTAGTTCTCCATATCACAACACATGCAGAACAGGGCTAATCTTATCCCCAAACGCCCTGCCCTTGAATCGCCCTGTAGTGTCTGGGTCAGGTTATCTGATACCGAGGCTACCCCTGGGGATTCCACTGACCTTGCCAAAATAATGGCCCCACTGAAGTCAACAAGAGTTTTGTCACTGACTTGAGTGAGACCAGAACGTCACCCCTTGTTCGTTAATCAGTAACGACACTAAACACTGATAAGCCCGAATGTATGATTGGGATGGGGACCCAACTCTCTGGGGTAAAATTCATTTTAACTGAAATCAGCACCTGGAAAAGATTCTGGATTCCCAAGACACACAACTGGGGCCAGATTTTCTAAAAAGCTCAAAAGCCGGCAGGTCCCATTGAGAACAAGGGGGAATCCACCCTCGCACTCCCCTGATAGCAATGGGAGCTGCCGAGTTCTTTTGAAAATCTGGCCCTTCTTTCTTTCGTTTCCTTGCCCTTGTCCCTCGTTCGGGCTAAGGCTGCTGCAGGACAACAGACCAAACAAGGACTCAGTGCAGCGGCTGAATGTCAGTTCTTTTCATAAGCAGGCCCTGAGCGAAGATCCACTGTTCACTCCACCACGGGAAAGGCTGATTGGCAGGGCCCAAGGAAGCAGCTGAAGCCTTTCATTCCGGACTCATCTGTCTTGCTTTCACACGTAACATGAACATTCTGATTTGCATGGGGCCTTTCACCACAGGACTGCAAGGTGTTTCCCAAGCATTAAGCAAACCTCACGTCTCATGCAGCAGATGGATAGTATCATCCCCATATTACAGATGGGAAAATTGAGGTACACACACTTGTCAGGCAAGTCAGTGCCAGGACCAGGGATACAACCCAACAATCCCCACCCCCTACTGTAACCATTAGGCCATCTTCCTTTTCTAGGGAAATGGGTGCCCGATTTTGCGATGGTAGCAACATGCCAGGCTCTGCTGGCTGGCACCTTACCTTGCGGGGACGGTGTGTAAGGCTTAGCACCGCCGAAGGAGAACCGTCTGGGGGATGGCACAGCTCCATGCTCTCCAGAGAAAGGAGGGGAAGCACCGATTTTAGCAAACCCAAGGGGGCTTGTACTGCTTGATCTTCGGACTGCGCCAGACCTTATTGGAAACAGCAATAATGCACACGTTATTCAAGACACCACTAATGAGGGGCAAGGAAAACAACATCACCGGCCATTTGAGCTCCCCCAGCTACTTTCCACCGAGCCAAATCTTCATTAATTGTTTATTCTTTGTATTGCAGTAGTGCCTAGGACTAGGCCCCCACTGTGCTGTGTGCCATGCAAACAGAACAAGGAGCTTACAATGCAAGCTGGAAAAAAAAGACTACAGTTAGCTTAGTTATAAAAGGGAAGTCGGGGGTTCACACACACACACACACACACACACGTATTTACAGCACCCCCTTGGAAGCCAGAGACTCAGATCTTTCATGTTACCAGTTTGTTTTAATAACTCTATCAAAAACGCCCAGTGATTTGTTATCCTAGTTGTTGCCTATCAATGCTGGGTTGCAGTCTTTTAATTAGATAGCTCCATAGGCACGCATGGCATTGTACAATAGGTGAGCTGTGCCAAATGAGTTACTGCCACAGAGAGCTTTGAGTCAAGTCAGGAATGGGTACAAAGCAACACAGAGCGGTGCGCGGCCATTACAACTGGAATGACTACAGAGGAATTTTTTTTAGGCTCAGATTTTCAAAAAAGAGTCCTAGCTACTAACTCCCTTAAGCTCCCTTGAAAAACCTCAGCCTTAAAGAGTAAAAATTATACTGATCTATCCTCCTAAAGTATTGCCCAGATCCTGCAAACAAATAGAAAGGGAAACAGAGTACAGTGGATCCATCAAAACCTTGCTCCTTTAAAGAGACAGGAATACTGTTTTTGGTATCTCACACTATTTTTTCTTTCCAGGAAAAATAATTATAATTACACCCCCCCCCCTCCAAGAACAGAATATCTTTTTACCAGGGCAACCTCCTTCACCAAGATTCCCTTCTGCAGCCATTGGGCATGGCATTCAGACTCCCCGAATAACAAAAAAAAACAACAACACATCCTTTTCTCACATGAATGCCTATTTTCACTCCCAGTCAACTCTTGCAAAAAATTTCATTTTCAATCAATCATTTCCAAAAATATGTGATGGTCGCAACCCACAGGTGGCTTTTTTGGAAAGGGATTGGTGAGTGATTTGAAAGAACGACTCAGCTCAATGCATCATACTATCAGGAATACACACTATACTTTCTCTTCTTTGTAAGGTTAAGGTGCAGGAATGCAGGCATATGTAATCTAATGGCATAAAGATTCTATTGGTGTGAATCTACACTTTACTCGTGAATGATGAAGCCAAGAGGAAGCTATCCAGGTCATATCAAATAAATGCCATTACATTCTTTAAGAAACACCATTATATATTTGATTATGCCACCTGCTTTACAGGAACAATGCTTTAAGAGGAACAAGATTTAAATATTTATTGGTACATTCCTGGATCTCAAACGGAGTATAAAAATGCTCTAAAAACACTTTTCTGTAAGTGAGGATGTTCCAAATTTATAGCTCTGGTATCTTCCAACTGACCTGGGCTTGAAATAAAATTATGTATTACACCCTCCCCTCCCCAAAAAGTTATGTATTGCACACAAACACGAAAGAAGAGGCTAACACAGAGAAAAGATTTTTTAGACCCTTCAATGGGATGCAGAAAGCGTTTGTACTCCATATGATTTATTAGGTATCCGATCTCAATATCATCATTGGTTCAAGACTGAACGCTGTCTGTCCTGAACTTGCTTCAGCATAACTTTAAAGGGGCTAGTCCATCTTTGGACCATAAGAAAGAAACAGTTTAAAAATGACCGCTGCTTGAAACTGCTCAGAGACATGGAACATTAGAAGCAGGCCTGTGAGAGAGATGGAATTAGCAGAGAACAGGTGAGGTGGCCACAGATAAATGCAAATTACCACATGGCTATCAGTACCACATGTCACATCTGGACACAAACAAACTGCACACACTACGTACATACCTTTGGCAGTCACACTGCCAAATTATCTCATTAACTGATAAAACTTTTAGTCTGTCTGCATCACGTGGTCCTAGGTAATTTCGTAAAATGGTCAAATTTCCCCACCCCAGATACCTGGCATTCAACTTGCCCTGACTTCTGTGGGAGCTGTGAGCAAGTAGTCGAGAGCCAAATTTGGGTCTAAAACTTTAAGACATTTGGTCAAATGACTGATAAGGAATGATGGTCACTGTCCTTCTAAGTATGTTTGATAGGCAACTAGAATCCCAACTACAGCTTTTAGCTTGATAAGGTTTTCCCTTTGATCTTGGAGGATGTGTACTGCACCTGCTAAGTGGAGGAAGAAACAAATTTGCTGAGCACAAGACCTCCTGGAGACAAGGATGGCTGATAATTTTTAGAAGATGCTCTGGGTTCTCTTTAGATATGTTAGTCTCATCATTGCACTCATGCTGAATAAAGCAGCCGAACACGATACTTTAATCCCAGATTGGTAGGCTATAGTTTGTAAATCTGAACCAGCAATTCCAGTCCCTGGTATCCATATCACAGGTACACTCTCTCTATCTGCAAATTTTCCAGATCCTTGACTTTGCAGGCAGCAAGGATTATTATGGGTGATGGTCAATTCTTTTCGCACGCTTAACTCCCAACAGCTGCAGCAAACTCTGCTCCAGGAAATATGGGGCATGTAAGACTAGAAAGGGGTTTACCCAGAATGTAAGAATTTGTTCAAATAGCACTGGCACACCATGATCCGTTGCTGATTCCCGATTAGGTCAGACTGACCTATAACATCTCAGGTGTTATCAGCCTTTGCAAAACAGGTTGAGGCCTCTTGGCAGACCAGTCTGACAGGAATATCAAACCCCAGCTGAAAGCTAACCCTAATGAATGTAAACATAAAAGAAACTCACCTTGGCAATAAGTCATATTTCTGCTGAGACTTGGTTCTTTGCTTGCTGTTTACACGCTGCGACTTGTCAATAATTTGAACATATTCCACCTTTGGTACATGGGCTTTCTTTAAGGTCTCATGTTTCTTGTATGGCTCTCCTTTCAGTTGGCCTTTGACTGGGAGTGCCATGGTTAAGCCACAGGACAAGTCTGTAAGACTAACGCGTGTGTGGGGCAATCTCAACAGACAGACGCCAAGTGCTCCTCAGAGGTGTGATCCATTTATGCAGTATGCAAAGCATCACTCCCATGGTCCAAGACTAATATCCGGTTCATCCTGATTGGTTCCCCAATGTGCGCTCTACCTCACAGGCATGAATTGCTCATGCACTAATTATGTTGCATCATCACATTAACATGGAAGTGTCACGTAGGACACATCGCTTTGTGGTGTGACTAAGTGTGTGAACAGATTTTTATAAAACTGAGTTTCAATCTATTTTCAGTAGTTTGACCAAAAATGTCTAAGTTTTAGCCATTTTCCCTTGGATGTTCCATCAGAGAGACTGATCTGACAGTGGGGAAGGGACGTATGCTGTCACAAATAGATTCTATTACTGGTGTCAAAATGCCACAAACATAATGTTAGCACACGGCATGCTGGGCTGCCCACCTAATGCCAGGAAGAGGGCCCGCAATACAGGAAATTGTGTACAGGGATGGAGACGGACCAGACTGTAAAACCTTCTTATGACGTATACAGTGCAGATCTAAAGGCTCCTGCAATGAGCAGGAGGTGGCATTACCTTCTCCCCGCACCTCTGCACTTACTGTGGCAAAGCGTGTTGATTGGGAGACTGTAGGTTCTGTTCGATCCGCCGGTAGTTGTGGATTTGCGTTGGGACCGGGATGGGGACAGAGTGCTCGTACTTGCTGCTGGAAAACTGGCCTTGCCGGCTGTCGAGTTCAAAGAGAAATAAAGACTCTTGTGAGGAGACAGCGTTTTAATGACGTAATCTGATTTATTAACGTGCTTAAGCGACTGTCTGCAGGGCAACATCCACCTCACTCCTCCCCTCAGGTTGTGAGTTTGTAGACGGGAGTTCAAAGCCATTAAAGGAAGGGCCACCTCAACCTCCAAAAACCACTCACCTCTCCTTCCTCAGGGCGATTCTCGCCCACAGACTGTGTTAGACACATGATGCACCACACCCGCCAGGAAAATTAGATCTCAGCTATTTCAAGCTGCAACCAGCCTACTTTCCAGCAGCCTCAGATCCACGGCCAAGGAGCACATCACTGAACAAAGGCTAAACGGCCGTTGTTCACAAAGGACACTGGCGAAGAGTCATTTGTTGCCCAAAGCTACTTGTGATTCATGCAGCGTCATTGCCGAAGAAACAGCATCTCCACGAGTCTCAGCATTCCAAGGCAGGCACACAACCCTTGGACTAAGAGCGTGTCTGCAAGCGAACTAAGTGTGGGGAGGGCGACCTATTGGAGAGGAAATTATACAGGGCCTCTTTGCTATACACTGTGTGCAGAATTCCCATTGAGGTCAAGAGGAGTTGAGTGTTTTAGACTCATCCTGCAAACTACAGACTGCTTTCCAGTTAAGTCCGAACAGCCTACTCGGCTCAGGCTCCAATACCTATCCCCTTCAGCTGGCAGTTTTCTCCATTACTCTTTGCCTGCATACTATACTGCACAAAACTATGAAAATGCACCACTGTGTGATTCAACTAAGTAGCTTCCTAAAATCCTTTCCCAAATCCTTAGGTCTTCAGGGAATTCCAGGATTGATTACCATGGCAGAGTCACTCACAGCAGCCAACCCCAAATAGGTAGCTGTTGCACAGCTATAGGAAGATCTTATCAGCGATGGAGGTTTCTGTAGTCTTCTCTTCGTCAGTCTGGGACACAGAAATCATTGCGCTTAGGGAATCTGGGTCCCCCTCTTAGAGGCTACACTGCCAACAGGTCTACTGGTACATAACCCAGAGCAGAAATGCTTCACACATGCAGAAGAAGAAACATAAACGAAGAAGTAAAGAGAGAGACTAGAGCTGCTGTCTTATAGAGCTGCCAAAAGAAAAGACCAAAAGCGCTTTTTGCAAAGGCCAGCTATACTCTGCAGTTGCTGGTGTCAATGTTTGGCAATGCCTATATGCTGTAGCTTACTGGCAGATTTCCAGGACACGGTCCATAGCCCATGAAGAAGTCACTCACCACTGGGGCAGCACCAGTGGGCTGAAAAAGACCCTCTCGCACAACAGGAAGACATAGAAGTGACCAGCTTTTCCTCTTCTCCTCCTTAACATCTACAGTTTGCTAATTCTATGCAGTTCTAGCTTCTGTTCTGTGTGTTCATATTTTCTCCAAACTCCCAGGGATGTCAGCGCAAATGCTCCAGAAACAGAGCAACTACAGAATCAAGACATAATCACTTCAGAGCCTGGTTTTCAGAGATGCTGAGCCCTCACGCTTCCCAATCAAGTCTATGTGAATACTGCTTCGCATCTCGGAATAAATCAGGCTAGGAATGTCCCATAAGCTCAGCTCCATAAGAACAAGCTAGTGCGTGTGCATGCAAAAAGAGTGGGGAAAAACCAGGAATGATGACATAGATTTAAGGTCCAGGCTATCAAGGAATTTGTCAGCAGAACAGTGAGACCTTAGTAAGGGGAATTTACTGGGCATATCATATGGATATATGGGTACAATAAGATATAAATTGAACAATTATTTGTCTGAGATATCTGGGAGCTAACAGAGCAGTGTGTGGGGACAACACCTGAAGTTTTAAGGGATAAAGGAGGGACTCTTCACCTTGCACGTTGCCTGACTGACTGAACTTCTAACCCAGGCCTGCATCTTTCAAAGAAGAGAAGTTACTGAGTAAAAGAGTGGCCTCATATAAGAGCTACTGTACATCAAGTCCCACTACCAGCCAACTTTCCATACTGCATGTATTCTGTAAACGAGGAGGTCAAATTTAGATGACCTGTAGGGAACTTACCAATTGGTCCAGACAACAAATAGCTGGTAACTAAACCTGAGCCTAGTACGCATTAGACATTGGAAATATCTGGAGGTCTTCAAACCACAGCGGTCCAGAAATTCTCAGAGCCCAACAGATCAAGAAGGAAAGAGAGTTCAGCTAATTAGTTGTAACTAAAAGTGCTCAGAAAGTGGCATTAAACCCATCCCTTTGAGACATATCCAAAGAGGTATAGAGACACAATTTTAGGATACATCTTCAATGGGGAAGTGATTGGAAAAAAGCCTAGCAGTTAATATGGGTCAATCCTGGGCAGGTGACATTCTGGTTAACATTCAGGAGCGTAGTTCCAGAGAGCACACTGACATCTGGAGGCAAACACTCCACTACCAGCCAATCTCAAACAGCCTTTGCTATCTGTCCCATTTGGGCTGCGTCCAGCACTGCAGGGCGGGGCAGGAGAGGGAGGTGAAGTGCTGATTGCAAGACAAGAGGCACAGACAAAGAGAGAGCTCCAGCCTGCTAAGAAGCGGTGCCAAAGGGAGAGTGAAAAGCCAGTGTTGCCTCCTGCTGCCAATGACACGCAGCGAAGCGCTGAAGACCTGCGCGACATCATGCAGTCAAAGGGCAGCAGAGCCCATGCTCGAGTACGGTGAAGACACCTTGCAGGGACCAGCTCAGAAGCACCCTCAGGGGGTGGCTGAGGCCCCCACATACTCCATTTTGTTGGGCTGGAGTCCTACATTACAGTGGTCTCTTCCCCTTCCTGGGAGGGTAGAAGGCTTCTCTTTGGAGTCTCTGTAGAAGCAGGGTTTGGGATCCATTCCACACAGGCTATTGGGAATGAATGTGTGGGAGTGGGGTAGTGACATGTTAGACCCTCATGTAACTAGACGTGATTTTCCACCTTCCACGCCGATGGGACTCAGGCATCCTGATTTGGTGGAGAGAGGGGCAGGGCGAAAAGTGAGCCAGCATTTGCAATGACCTTCCGTGCGTTTCCACCCACCGCTCTTTAGAGCGAGCCCGAATCCTCTAATGAACACTGATCCCATGGCTGCACACGAATCCGTTACAGAACAAGCTGTTAAAAAGCTTAGCAGGTGACGGCATGAGAAGCCTCATGCAGTTAAACTCTGAGCCATGGTACGTGCCTGCCAATTAGTCCGATCATGTCAGCAAGGCTTTGAGCTGTATTTCTTTCCTAGGTTTATACGGGTTTAAGCCATGGCACGTAATTGTGGGCTCTCTCTGGGTGAGGAGCATTTTCACAACGCAAGGCTGGGACTTCTTTAGCGTTTTAAGTTTTTTCAGGGTGAATTTCCCCACTCGTAAGAGGTGCCCGGTCGACAGGCTCAGACACGCAAGTCATCCCTGTACTCAGAGAGTGGAGGCAGTGCGAGATTCCTTATGCCAATGGACCACCTTGAAGGGTGGGAGTCAATCAAATCAGTCTCCATGTGCATTCAATCGTTACGAGCAAATAGAGCCAAGTAGAGTCACTGGTGGTGCTGGATTTCGGTGTGTGGCCAGCTGGACCCTAAACTCATTTCACATGGGCCGTTGTCAGCACTGGCCTAGCTGGATTTGAACCTGTGACCAAAAGGAGGAAGGTTCTATACCACTGCTGCTCCCCTCAGCCAAGCAGTTATACCAATACCCACTGCAGTTCATCACTACAAACCGAACAGCTCTAGCTAACAGCTGGCGCGACCCTTCTCAGGTGTGGAGCAGAGAGCTGCTTGGGGCCTTCTGCAGACTCAACATATCTGAGCCGGCCCAACTGCCTCCTTCGACAGGAGGACCAAATGGGGAAGCAACCTTCCCACAGATTCAGCCACCTACCCACCAGGCCAGCAACTCACGGCCGCAGTATTGTTGAGGCCTCAGAAGATCAGACAAGCTCCATCTCGCAGCCTCTTCACAGCAAGGAGGCTATATCTGTGGTGGGTTCCAGCACTGCAGTGAGCAGCGAGGTCCTTTCCCCCTAGTTAAATACAATGTCCTTTTTTTCCCTGCTCCCCAAAGAAACAAAAACCGCTCCCATTGCCAATTGCAATCTCAAGGAATAAGCTACCCAGACGCATGATGCGAGCGAGGAGCCCTTTATGGATAACCTGCCCTACGAAAAACATGGTGGTATTGGAAAAGTCCCAGCCAAAGCAGTGCTTTTGGGTTCCGGTGACGGTCGCCACTTTGGCTGGCACGCTGGGGATTGAACTAGGGCTCTGCAGTGCTAACAGTGTGAGCAGCTACAGCTTGAGCTAAAGAGCCAGGTTCTCTAGTTGTACCAATCATAGTCTCTGTGGGCTGGGCACAGCGGGGGAGTCTGACCAGTGGGTTACACGTCCACTCAGCCTCACGCCTTTGTAGTAGTAGTAAAGCTCTGGATGGGGGCGGAGGGCGCTCCTTGGTCTCCAGGGCACAGGGGGTTCACTCCAGCTCAGATTCCTTCTCCCCTTGCCCTTCTCGGGAGGAGGGAATGCCGTTGAGGAGTTCAGGCTCCACACCCAGGACTGGGCTGAACCCAAAGCTGCAGAGTTTTTTTTTTGTTGTAACTGCTGCCCTTGAACTCAAGGCCAAGCCTCACCGGGAGGTTCTGACCCCACCCCCAAATTAACATGGGTGGAAAGACGCCTCGATTTCAGCAGGAGGTAGATCAAGGCCTAACACTTGGTTTTGGGGTGAACGATCTCACCAGCTTCCCTCTTACCCTGCCGGGCTGGGAGAAGTGCTGTACGGAGGCGAAGGGGATGGCGTCCTTGCCTGGCTCTCCACACCTGCCGAAGTCACCAGGGAGCTCCTGGAAAGGGAGAGAGAGGAGCCGTTCTGTTAGAGCCTAAGACACAACAGCACTTCCCTGCTCCTTACCCCTCCTTACCGCTCCCCGCAGCTTTTCCACCCAAGGCTTCGTGTTGTTTTCACACGTGACTGAATGTACGTTAGCTGCGTCCCTGCACAGCCTGTGGGAAGCAATCCATTCCCCTCTCCACTGTTCTGCCCTTGCCGGGGCCCTTAACGGGGCTGGACATGTAATTTCTGCCCAGTTTAAAAGAGCCTTAGTGTAAATGAGAATCGGGTCCTCGGAGTCTTTTTTTTTTAAAAAAGAGTAATTGGAGGCTGGTTTTAACCACTCTTCCTTCTCCCTCAGCTCTGTCCCAAGAAACCCAATGAAATTGCAACTGAATTATCAGGAAGGCTGTGAATTTGGTTGAGAGTAGACTGAGGTTAGACTAAATCAATAACAGAAAGATAGTAACAGCAGCATCTGCTGCCAACCCACTGCATTATTCATCAGTCTAGTAATAAACTGTCAGCCTTTATCCCTTATGCAGCTCCTTGCATACACGGATCTCAAAATGCTTTGCAAAGGTGTATGGATATCAACCCTCACGCATTTTACAGCTGGTATAACCAAGCCATCAGGAGGTTAAGGGACTTGCTCAAGATCACCCAGGAAGCCAGTGGCAAAGTCTAAAAGACAACACAGGTCTCCTGACTCCCAGGCCTGCAGAGTGGATAGGACACAACACCACCTTCTCAAGACAAAGTTGAGGGACTGTGGACAAGTTTTCTTCGGATAAAGACTTTTCCCTCCCTCCCCAGTGTCTCTAGAAAAAAATGCTCCCTGGCAGAGGGGTACAGAAGGGAAGGGTCTGGGTTCTTCCTATTACTGACCTCATCATGGATTCTAGTGCTACAGCGAGTCTGCAGCAAGACTTTGCATATGGGCAGGAGAAAAGGGTTTGGGAACTTTGTCTGGCAGATGGAAATGCGGCTTGCCAGCAAGCTGGGCTGGGTTCCAACCCAAACCTCTTCCAGTGAATGCTGGCAGACGGCTGGGAATGGAATCAGAGAGCACTGCAGTTCCCCGGTCTCCCTGTTCTCTCTCTACGAGTCACTAAAATTCCCCATCCCAAAGGCCAAGAAAATGGTAAGGATCTCTCTATGCTAAAAATACAGCCCATGTCTGGGAACCCCATTACAACACAGCTCCAGGCTGCTGTCTAGGCAGGCCCTTCACATTGTTCCTTAAGGAGACTCTATGGTGCAAACAGGAAGCAAGTTGCAACGAGGTCACTGACGGAGTCATCTTTGCAGCAAAGATAGGGGCTCAAATAGAGTTAAGTGAGCAAAATCCCTTCTCCATCCCCCCAAGCCCAGCAGAGTCTGTGCCAGACGCTGACCATTCTAATTCTTAACAGGCTAATGCTCTTACTCGCTGTACATCAGGCTGTCCTGGACGGGTTTCCCTCCTGCTGCCTCAGCAGTTATATCACCTGTGTGTCAAGAAAGTGAAGAAACGGATTAGGTCTTGGTCACGTCCTTAAAAGCTTTTATATGTTCAGAGTGACTGATTTTAATCTCCTGCTTCTCCAAGACCAAGCGGAACTTGGATACCAAGCAGCTTTTAAGATCTCCGTTTCACTGAACCGGTGCAGTCAGCAGCTGGTTTCATTCTGATCCCCACAGCCTCAGGCTTTGACGGGTTTGGTTTGAAAGGAGGTATTTTTGGAAAGGGGCAGAGACTCGACATAGACACTTGGTGCAAGCCGTTAGCTGCTTTGCAAATGCAATGGCATGCTTTGCACGTAGGGCTCAAACACATCTATGCCCCAAGTGGCAAAATTCCAGTCTGACCATGTGAGGTGGCAGCTGGATACACAGACGAGCTCGCCCCTGCCAAACCCTCAAAATGCTGGAAACGTGAACAGTGTCAGACGTTACGACCCGGCTCCCACTGCTGTTATTGGGAAGAGTAAAAGCAACGCTGAGTTCTTCTCTCACAGTCTAATTACATGCACCGACACACACTGCAGAGCCCAATCTCCCTTCCAAGCCTACAGGAAAGTTCAAATGTTTGCAAGAGTGATGAGTAATCCCAATTCATTCCCAATTCAGCAAAGGACCATAAGCACATGCTTAACTGTAAGAATGTTCTTCAGTGCTCTGCTGAACAGCCATTGACTTAAGCACATGCTTAGGTGCATTGCTGAATGGGGGTCCTATTCTTTATGTACGTGTGTTTATATGAACACACTTACTGTTACGTGCATGAAGTTTGTGAGCAGTGCGCACACACACACAGAATAAGAGACATTTTATGACAGAATTTTTAAAAAGGCCAACTTTCTGAGTAAACAAAGAAATAATTTGTTGCTGGGACTTTTTGAACTATAAAATCCAGCCTCTGGGTACAATCCTGTGCTGCAATATGAAATTGATGGCCTGAGATTGGATGGAACGAGAACAGTTTCTGGGCAAGCACCACATTCACCTGTGAGCCTACATTGCTTCTCCCCCACTTGGGTTTTCAGTTCTCATGCTCAATTCAGGTCCAAGTCCTGAAAGATTCCTTATTCTCAAACCCTTTCTTTGAAGCTATTTAGTTACAGAATGTACTACAAAGCAATCAGCATGCCAGATGTTTCCTCAGTCTGGGGAACCAAAACATTCCCACTTTACAGTCAAAATGTACAGCTCTATCAGTGTTTTGGCTTTCCAGAAGCGGTCCTCAGTGTACAAACAGCCTCACTTCTGCGCTGTCTCTAAACACACTACAAACAGCATGGCTTACTTGAGAACTGTGCTGGGACCATAACAAAGTCATCAGTGTCACAGGAGGAATTCTTGCTGCTGCTTTCAGCGGAGTCCTTAGACCCATGCAGAAAACCAGGGGAATCCTGGGCAGGAGATACCAGAGCCTTCTCCCGCAGCTGCTGCATCTCTCCTAAGGACTGCTTAAAGCAAAGAAAACAAACACGGGCTTTAATACAACTAGTTCATCATTCTGCTAGATTCTCTAAATTAAATTGTGCAAAGCCAGAGCCAAAATTCTGCTGATAAATGGGGGCTACCAACTCGCCACAAACAGATGCTTCCTTTCCTGAGTGCGAAAGAACCGTATCTTTCAAAGCTAAACCCAAGTCAGAAGAGTGCCTCTTTTGATCATCAAAACATGGCACTGGTCCATCAAATGCACCCCAGATAAGAATAGTTTCTCTGAGGTAGGCACCACTCTTTGCTTAGACTTTCCTGATGGATAAACCATCAGCATCCCACAGAAGGAATACAAGGAGAACTAGGAAGAGATGCGGGGGGATGGACGGGGGGGGCGGGGAGGGGGTTAGTTTTGTTGCTGGTACGCGGCTGCTCACTCCACAGCAGTAGCTGGATTTGGGGAATGTTTATAGAATGTAGGGTCATCTGCGAGGCACTGATCTGTGCAAATATATTTCACTGGGGCTGGGATGCAATGAGGGGGGGTGAAGCCTGGGGAGCAGGGATTGTGGTAATAAAGAGCAGCTCACAGTGGTCAGTCAATACCAAATGGTCCTTTCAGTGGCAGGACAGGCTCCAGGGAGAGCTGCATCATACCTTCCCCTCAGCCAGAAGGGACGAGTGCCATGACATCGACACTTTAAGGATGGGAACGGGGAAACGTGAGCGGTTCAGAAGGATCCCTTCTGCCATCCCTTAGGGAGGAAGCATATCGACCATTTCTGGGTCCCTAGAACAAGGCCAGTATACGAAACCTCTCGCTAGCACAATGGCTTGACAGGGAGTTTGTACCACTCATGTGCTGCTCAAGCCAGAGAGCAGGCTAGGAGAGACTGCCACAATGTTCTCTAGCCAAGTGTGACATGAGTTCTAGAGTTCTCATGACCTAGGCCAGCCCCTCCTCTCCAGAGAAGAGGGGTGACAATTGCAGGAGGGAGAGAAATGAATAAGACTCTTGCCCCCAGTGACCCAACTCGGTGAAGTCCAAAGGATATGGAGAGCAAAGGGCCTCTCTTCCAGATCACCCTGCACATCAGAGCTCCTGGGTTAGCTTAGGGCAGGGGTTCCCAACATTTCCCATACCAGGAATGCGCTCCCCACCCCACCCCCGTCATAATCTCATAACACCTGCTCACACCACCACTTGAGGCGTGTAACCTGCACGTTCAGAGCCCTTGGTCCAGGGACGTTAGGAAGAACAAAATACCTAATAGGAAAGCAATCTTGCAAAGAAGGAACAAGAGTCATAACCATTTCCCTCTTCCCCCACCCCACCAATATTCCTCTGCACAAAGAAGTTCAAAAGGCAACTTTCACCGACAGTCTCTGATATCCACTCGGGGAGCTGGGGGAATGTCACTTTGCTGGCAGGTTAATATTCAGCCCTTCAGAGGAAAGTTTTAGCGGTTAAGTAACTGGGGGGGTAGGGGGGGAGTGACACAGACGTCAGTTCAGATCCACTCTCCTGAGCCCACCCGACTGTGGCAGGTTTGGGTCTGAGCAGACGGCTTTGGTGAACGTGCGTCTGGGCAGGTTCACCTTGCAAAAGAAGGTGGATTGTGCTTTCAAACTTGGCTCGAGGGCAGAGAGCTGGCAGCCAGCGCTAGATGCTGAATTAATGACTTGTTCTGGTTCTTAGGAGTCTTACAGCTCTACTGACACCAGCTGGTGTCATTAATGCAAGCCTCGCTCACTCTAGGCTCTTTGCATAATAGATAAAGGCAAACTGAAGCACTCCTCGTGGAGAGAGAAAGTCACTTAGGACCCCAACCCAGGTCATACTGCATAGGAGCTTGCAACAGGCACAGACTAAATTACTAAGGTGTTACAATCTTCAGCAACTTCAGGCAGTGAAAGCAAAGGACCTATTTCATATCATCCAATGAGATGGCGAAGCAGAAAGGGATAAGACAGTCAAGGCACTGCCAGGAACGTTAACAAAACCCCCGTACATCTGCGGGTTGTACTTACGGGAGGTGAGGCCAGGTGGGAAGTGGAAGAGCTGCTGGAGGAACTACCAGAGCCTGAGCTTGGATAAGAAGGCATTGGCACAGAAGCAGCTGGGAACAGAAAGAAATTGTTAAAAGGTTCTGACCAGCCAACAATGCAATGATTGAAAAGGCTTTTCTAGTCTTCTTTCCCATCAGGTTTGTCTCATATACCAGATGGTGCCATTTAACGGAGGGAAAACCAACATTTGGTCCAGTTTAAATGAGAAAAACTTGCCTCCCCCACACGACCATTTGACATGTTATCTTTATTATGGTACCCTTGCAGTACCATCTTAGCTCCGAATGTCCTTACTGGTCAGCCCTAAGTCAGACCGTTCCCAGTAACCTGGGAGATGTTTTGGTATTTTAATGGTTTACATGGAGCCAGAAGATAGTAATTTCACTTCTCTTCTCTCCCACCTGCACTGTCAGAAAATTACAGTCTTGCCTTAGTTTTATTAATCCACAGGACTGGGCATACTGACTTCATGTACACAGTGTAGAGCAGGGGTAGTCAATAGGCAGAGCGGGGGTCAAATCCAGACCGCCAGACACTTTTGAATGGACCCCAAAATCATTTTATTTACTTATTACCATCATTATTGTTATGCTTTTTTAAAATTATTTTCTCCAGAGTCTGGACCTTGACTATATCTTCAGTAAGAAATTTGGACCTTGATAAAAAATAATTGACTACCCCTGATGGGATAATTATGGAGAAGAAAGCTTTCTTCTCCAAGTAAAACTGCTTCATGGCTAACGATGTTAAAATATTACAGTGAAGGACTTATGTTTATTCTAACAGCCAGATAACCTTCATTTCTTTAACCCTTAGGACAATGTTCAGTGAATGTGTGTGTGCATGGGTGGTAGGGGAAGAGATGGTCTACTGGCAAGAAGAGCTGGGTTGGGATCCTTTGGTCCTTTGGACTGTTGACAGGGCAGAAATTAAAATGGTTCCCATCGTACACGTCTCCTTTTACTCTGGCCTGCCTGTAACTCCCCACCCCAGCTTATACCAGTAAGCAGTGTCTCCATGATCGAGGCTGGGAGTGAGGATCAAAGTGAGGGAGCAAGAGCTGAAGGAGGTGTCCCAAGAGAAGGTAGGAGGGCTTCCTCAGTAGCCAGAGATAAAGGGAGGATACTACAAAGAAAGCAGAATAATTGACAGGGGGCAGAGGAGAGGAGAGAGATGGGCCTCCCGTCCCTTGTATTGGAACCCCAAGGATGTCGTCTATTCATCCTCAGGGTTCTAAGCTTTAAGCCCATATGCCAGGACATCTCTGTGGGAGGAAAGCTTCCTTTTCTGCAACTCCCATGTCTATTCCGAGGGTGGGTTTGACTGCACCCCCAGTAGGCCGTGTTGTTATAACACGCTGCCCTGCTGCTGTTGAGAAAGAAAAGTATCCCCAAAATGGGAATTCTGGAAGGACAGTCAGAGGCTTGGGGTGCTCAGTTAAATATCAAATACCCAGAATGCATTTCCACCTCCCAGATCTTATAGCATGGCTGGCTCTCACGCCCTATGCTTGAGGAACAAACCAAAAAGTCTGGGTGAACTCACATGTAGGTGGAGAGCCCAATCCCATGCAGCACTTCCTTTGAAATCACTGGGATTCCTACATGTAGACGGCTTGCAGGTCAGTCCCAACCGCCTTCTCAAAAACTTGGAAAACAAGAAGCCTGAAAGAATCTCCCCAGTTTTAGCCTGCAAACTGTGACAGGAAGTACAAAAACAGCAGCTGCCAAATCTGCACAAAGAAACTGGGAACCCTCCTCACCTCTTAGCAGAGGCCTCAAAGACGATTACGGTAGTGAGGTCTCCCACCACCAAGATTTCATTGTTTTTACAAAATATACTGCACCGTGTACTGTACACGGACTGCCGTATCTGCTTTACTGTTTATTTTTCCCTTGGATGATTATTTTAACTATTTGGGAACTCGGCTGAATTTGGGGCTTTTCCTTCTATTTTTGTCTATTTTCACTGGACAGGTGTTCCATAAATCTAAGGGCAGGAAGAAAGACTTTTCCACCATGTAGTTGAATTCAAACTAAATTACAACTGCTAAAGTAAATGAACAAAATGCATTTTTGGATGCAACCTCCTTGATTGTTATTTTATTATTTCATGCCGGACCCCACATTGACTTCATTGCAAGATCGGAAGGCTAAATCACAAGATCTGGTCATTTACAACAGGGGCTTTCAGTCTCTGTGAATTAGTCAGGTTCCACTGTAATTATATGGTTTGATTCCCCATTTACCCAAAAAAGGTACAATCGGGTAATGACAGCAATACACAACCGCTTGAAAGAAATGCACTTAGTTTTCTGCCCTCAAGGCATTCACTCTTAGTTTGAAATTTAAAAGGAATAAACTTTTTGGAACATGATGTTTTCACCTGGAATGTGGACAGAAAGATAGTAACACGAATTATGTTCCCCACCCCAAATCCTAAAATTGCCAGGCATCATGGTAACATAAAGGAATTAGCTCTCGTAATTATCTTCTCCAGCTTGTCCCAACAATGGAGTTATGGACGGTAGCAGCATCAATATTCTCACGCCAACAGATTCCAAAATGGAGCACGGCCCAAAGGGGCAGTTTTGCTCCGAGAAGCAAGTAGGCGCAGCATGGTTTTTAGTGCAGGACCGAGGCCTATGCAAAAGCAGTTGCCACCACTAGGGTGCCATGATTTCCAGCAGAAACTTTATTTTGCCAGGGGCTTTATAAATTGTCTTGAAAGGTCATTTGGGGCTGAAACGTGGGGTAAAAAGTCTCCATCTGGCATCCACTTGTCATATAAGCCAGCTGGATAGAATTTTGTAAACAGCTGTAGCTCTCTTGTTTTGTTATTGTTGTTTTTTAACTGCTGAAGCCTCAGCATCAATTCCTGATGAGGCAATATTCTGGAGGTTGCAAGGTACAGAAGCAAAAGATGAAGTAAGTAAAAATTCCCCTTTAAACCTCTGAGTTTCAGAAAATATCATATTTGAAATGTAGCTATTGTAACATGTGCAGGTAGTTAGATTTACAGATGATTTTGCTGTTCTTTGCTTTGTGAGTATGCACAGTAAGATCGGAAAGTTGGTATCAGAGCTATAGGTCAAGCGCACTAATCTGAACATATTGTTCCAGACATTGAACCAGCTCACCAGTATTATGTATCACATTAATGCATAATATTTGCTCATGCTACCTGGCATCTCTCTTGCAAGCCAGGTTCAAAGAGACATCAAGTTATACTTTAGTCATAAACAGGGGGAAAATGAGATGACATTATAGATTCACAAACTTTAAGGTCATAAGGGACCATCATGACCATCTAGTTTGACCTCTATCACATTGCAGGCCACAGAACCTCACCCACCCAATCCCTGATTAGACCCCTAACCGAGTTACTGAAGTCCTGAAATCATGGTTTAAAGCCTTCAAATTACAGAGAATTCACCATTTACATTAGTTTAAATCTGCAAGTGACCCATGTTCCATCGGAAGGCGAAAAACCTCCAGGGTCTCTGCTAATCTGACCTGGGGGAAAATTCCTTCCCAACCCCAAATATGGTGATCAGTACACATCTCACTTAACGCAATTGTATTTACCGGTCACAACAGCCTTAATTATGCTTCCTCGTGCTTGGTTACGATAATGCACTGTAACCAATATCACACGCCTATCCAAGGCCCTACAGCATCTATCTACAGACAAATGACATTCTTACTAGAAGGGTGTATTTTAGGATTTTATTAATATTTTTACACTTATAAGATACATCTCTCATCGCAGAGTTAAATAAATAACAAAGACACACAACACAAGTTAATGAAACCCAAGGCCCCAAAGCCACCACTCAGGCTAAAGCCAGTAGCAAGTAGATAGCTCTTGCAGCATGCCCTGAAGGCCAACAGGCTTGGGGCCCTTGTCTCACCATGGAGGAGGATGGATGTGGGAGGGAAATACACCTCAGAACTGTAGAGGATAGGCCATTAGATGGCTTCAGGAGGCCTGGGTTGCATTCCCAGCTCTGCTGCAGACTGCCATGTGGCCCTGGGCAAATCACCTCGCCTACACAAGCCTGTTTCCTCTCCCCCCCTTTGTCTGTCTTAGCTGTGTAAACTGTGAGCCCTTTAGGGCAGGGACTGTCTAAGTGTATGTCTCTAAGCGCTGCGCCTCCCACAATAGGGCCTTGATCTTAGTTGATGCCTCTGCCTCAGGGGTGGCCAACCTGTGGCTCCGGAGCCACATGTGGCTCTTCAGAAGTTAATATGCGGCTCCTTGACTAGGCACCGACTCCGGGGCTGGAGCTACAGGCACCATCTTTCCAATGTGCCGGGGGGGTGATCACTGCTCAACCCCTGGCTCTGCCACAGGCCCTGTCCCACTCCACCCCTTCCCGCCCCCTCCCCTGAGCCTGCCGTGCCCTCGCTCCTCCCCCCCGGCGAGCCTCCTGCATGCCACAAAACAGCTGATCGGGAGGTGCGGGAAGGGAAGGGGAGATGCTGATCGGCGGGGCTGCTGGTGGGTGGGAGGTGCTGGGAGCGGGGTGGGGGAGCTAATGGGGGGCTGCTGACGTATTACTGTGGCTCTGTATATTGGCAATGTACATTGGTAAATTCTGGCTCCTTCTCAGGCTCAGGTTGGCCACCCCTGCTCTACCTGATACCCGAATACAAATATTTAATAATAATAATAATTGTTACTTGGAAACAAACTGGAAGCCAGAGCAGGTTATGGGCTACAGGTGTTCTAAATTCTTTGACAGAAATGCCAGAGACCCAATGCCAGGGGGCTTCATCCCTGAGCAAGTCGAAGTGTAACTGTGCTAGGCACGGACCTCGCGTTAAACTGCATGGATCACAAAGGAGACCCCTGTCAGATGATGTCCTGCATGCTTCAGACGAGACTTCAAGTGACAGCGATATTATACCCCGTGCCCCTGGCCTACCACTTGCAAGTTGGCTCTTCCTGCCTTATCTCCCCTATGCAGGTATCAAAAGGACCCAAGTTCCCACAGCTAACTCCCCTCATCTCAGCTCTTAGCAGTCCAAGTCACACTCCCCATGAACGCTCTCAATCTCCTGAAGGCCTCCATCCATTGGGTGCATCCACTACAGCCAACTGTCAGAGTACAGACCTCCAGGGCAGGCCCCAAGAGCCATCTACCCAAACAACAGGCCTCCCCACAAAAGACCACAGTCCAAGACCACTGAGGATGACGACAGGAATTCCTTCCCTCTCCTTGTTTCAAGCAATATCAGTCTTTCCCTGTCCCAGGCTTTACACATATGTCTAGTGGCGGGGACCAGGTAGGCTGGTGGGCAGCTTCAGATAAGGAAGGTCCTTACCTGCCCGCAGAGGTGGCCGTTGTACAGGGCCAGCATCCCGCACCAGTAGCCTAGGTGCAGTTGGAGGCGAAGGCCGAGCCAGGAGAACCCTCCCCTGGCTGTGGCAGTGCGCCTGTTTTCCGCACTCTGAGGGTGTGGGTGATGCTGGAAATGGAGGGCAAGCCAGGAGAATCCTTTCCTGCTTGCGTAGGGTTCCCTGCGGAACAGGGCTGGGACAATGCCTCCATGGCGACAATGCAGCTGGACATGAGAGCTGGGCCGGTGGGTGAGCAAGCCAAGGTTGCAAGAATCGTTGCCTGCCGGTGGGAAGGTCAGACTCTGAGGGCCTCATCCCCCAGAGTGATGGTGTGGCGAGAGATGGGGGCCGAGCTGGCTTGGGAGCTTCCCTAGGCAGGCAGAGTCCTTCTTTGTCTGCAGGGCGGTCAGGCTTTGAAGGGCTTGTCCCCGACAGTGGCGGCGTGGCTGGTGCTGGGGGCCAGGCTGGCTTGGGAGTTTCCTTAAGCAAGCAGAGTCCTTTCTCGCCTGTGGGGCAGCCCCGCTTTGCAGGGCTCACCCCACATGGCGATGGTGCAGCTGGCGGAAGGGGCCGGGCTGGCTTGTAAGTGCCCCTAAACCAGGAGAATCTTTTCCTGCTCGTGGTACGGTCACCTAAGCACACAGTTAAGGTGAGGGAGTGTTTACAATGTGTATCGGGGATAAACCAGGACTCCTGCCTCGGAGCCATGTGTTACCAGAGCAAGACTGTCAAGAGCGACAAGCAACACCTCGTTTTTTGGGAGTCCATCTTGAGACTCATTAAAGGGGCCTGATGTTCAGAAAGTACCACGCACTCACCCTCTGAAAACCAGGCCCTTTCGAGATACTTCAAGGTTGGCCACCCAAAAATCGCCAGCCACTGCTGAAAATCTTGGCGTCAATATTTAAACAGGAGCTTAAGAAGAGGCCTAACGAGAGTCCTTCTGTAAAAGCAATGGTCGAGCACTCTCCATAGAGCTCTGATGGGGGGGGGGGGGGGGGGGGGGGGGGGGGGGGAAAATTACCCAGTACCGTGATAGTGATTCTGGGTTGGACACTGAATTCCACTTTTAATTTAAAAGGTGATGAGTAAAGCTGGTTGGAAAATTGCAACAGATTCAAAACTTTTTGATTAAAAAAAAAAAAAAAAAAGAAGGGGGGGAGATTGCCAGTGGAAAAAACATTTTCCAATTTTTCAACTGGCTTCAGTCACAAGTATCCAAAACAAACCCCTCTAAAGCAAGAGAACTTGGAAGATCCTGGAGTTAAAACCTGGATTTGGTCCAAAAGACTGCACTGCTCTCCAGTACCTGCTATTCAGTGCTACCCAACAAATGGGTAATGGATACGTGGCTTGGGGCATTTTCACAATTAGACTCTTAGTGTACATCCTGGCCACCATCCACTGTTATTAATTGTCTTATACACACAAGTGAGAGGGAGATATAAGCAGCATAACCTTGTTTACCCATAAGCATTTGTAAGGTCAGTCATTTCCAAGAAGAAAGCCACACACACACACACACACACACACACACACACACACACACACACACACACACACACACACACACACACACACACACCCACACACACACACACACACACACACACACACACACACACACACACAC